TTGACTGCAGGATAAACATGAGCCAGCAGTGTGATGCGGTGGTCAAGAGGGCGAACGCCACCCTTGGTTGCAAAGCCAGAAGTGTGGCTTCTGGATCAAGAGAGGAATTACTGCCACTCTATATGACTCTGGTGTGCCTGCAACTGGAGTATTGTGTTCAGTTTTGGGCCCCTCATTACAGGAAGGAAATAGCCAGGTTAGAGCTAGTGCTGCACAGGGCCACAAGGTTGGTGGTCGGATTGCAGGGGATGGGGGATGAGGCGAGACTGAGGGAACTGGGTCTCTTCAGCCTGGAGAAGAGGAGACTCAGAGGGGATCTGTTGGCGACATGCAGGTATGTGAGGGGGTGTCACACAGAGGTGGGCAGAGAACTATTCTCCCCTGCAGAGGAAGGCAGGATGCACTCCAATGCAGCCAAGCTCAGGGAGCCAAGGTTCAATTTGGTTGCCAGGAAGCACTTCCTACCAGTTAGGACCCCCAGGGTATGGAATGGGCTTCCACGAGAGGTGGTTGAGGCCCCATCGGTGCGGGTGTTCGAGGATAGGCTGGACAGGCACATGGTGGGCAAGTTGTGAGCGGAGCTGGCTGGAGCCGGGGGTCAGACTAGATGGCCCAGGAGATCCCTTCTGACTCGCTCTGTTTCTATGCTTCCCCATGGAGTCCAATGCATGGTCTTGCACACAGGAACCTACTGACATGAGCTCGCTTCTCCCATGCCCCTCTTTCATTTCCAGTAGATCAAAATGAACCAGTTATAAAATACGCTCCTCTAACTGGAGCTTCACGGGTTTTGCTGTGATGCGGGGCTTTTTCACAAGTCGCATACATCTGGGAAATGATCCCTCTGGTCTGTGGAAGCAGCTGCCGCCCATGTGAAGAGTGGATTGCAAACCCAAATGAGCCCTCCTTCCTTTTCCCAGAGTCTGCAGGTCGTCCATGCTACCTGTGAGCTAAACCGTGAGAACTTCGGACATTATATAATTGCTCTGCTTGGATTGACCACTCCCTGAGCACATCTAGGAATTTAGCTTCCCCCCTTGTTCTACGGTCTCCCCCCTGCATTGGTTTGGTCCTCAGTCCCTCATTAACTCTGTCTTTTCAGAGTCACTTTCCAGCCCCCTTCCACCCCCCCATCTCGCTGTCCGAATGGACTGGCTGGCTGGGAATGCTGCAGAGGGAGGAACCTGGACCCCATCTCCACACCTAGCACGCCAGGCAGAAAGCTGGGCTAGCATCTCCCTCTCTGACATGCTAGTTTTCCATGTGCAGAGACCAGCTTTCCTCGCATGCACGAGCAGTGCCTTAAGCGAGCTCTGAGCCGCAGCTTGTCCGGACACACGTTGCCTGCCCCTCTGAAAACCAGGGGTCTGCGCTGGTCCTCCCTTCCCAACACTGCTCGGGGTCCTTTTTAGAAAAGCCATAAATAGCCACACTCCAGCATCCCTCTGAGGCTGCCTCTCCGCTCCCATAGCCGACGTTATCCCACTGCGCCGCTCAGTCCGGGCATTCCCCACGCCTGCTTTGGAAGGTCACCAAAGGACACTCTTTTGGGGACAGAGTGAGCTCTGTGCGCTAGAGCCAGGAAGCCATGACTCGCAAAATGACTCCGTCGTAGCTGCACTCTGGCAATGGCGCCCTCCCTACCCTACCTGGAACTTACACCTGCGATGTTATCCTTTGTTTCTTCCTCCCCTACGACTGGCTCCTGGTGCAGAGCCCACACTGCAGCATCCATCCGTTTAGCTCCTCCTCCATTCATTATATCAATACCTTGCCTCTTTTCCTCATGCCAAGAACACAAAGCAACGCGCACGGTCCTTCTCATCTCCCTCGGAATCCGCACAACACCCCTGAGAGGCAGGTGAGGTGGAGAGGCTGTGACTCGCCCCAGCATCACCCAATGCGTTTCACAGCTGAGTCGGGATCTCCTGAGTCCCAGTCCAACGCTTAAACTCCCATGCTGCTTCTTCAAGCCAGACCCACCAGAAGCCCTGCTGAACCCAAGCACAGGTTCCTCTCATGCAGTATCTTGCTTGGGGCAATGGATGGCCAGATGCCTCCAAAAACCCACAGGCTGGACATGGGTGCACAAGTATCTTTGCCTGTTTGCCTCTGCAGATTAGATATTTAGCAGCGCTCTGTCTCTGCATGTGAAATCTTGTGTTTTGTTCATGGCTAGGAAGAGCGTTCAGTCTCAGGGCATCGCCTGAAGGCAGAGAATCCAGCTGCCTTGCTAAAGGGTCGGATCTGGCTGGTCCCTGGATAAAAGGCAACTTTGGACCACCTGTGGTTCCACACAGAGAAAGGCAGGGTATCTAACCTGCCTAAAAGTGTGGAATAGTTAATTTATCTTATTTTATTGTAGTCTGAGGTAATGTTGTAAGCCATCCAGAAACGACAGCGATGGACGGCATACAAATGTTTAAATAAATAAATGGAGCCATGCTTGAATCTAGGTAAAGATCTATTGATCCCAACATCCCACTTCTCCAGTGGCCCACTTGAGAAGCCCACAGGCAAGCCACAAGCCCTCCCGTGGTTTGCCTCCCAGGCAAGTCCCTTCCAGCAGCAGTCTGCCTCTGGATGGGGAGGCACCTGCAGGAACGTCCTGCCTTGTGCTACTCGGAGTTGAGCTGGGAGAGAAACCTGGAGACGTGTGCACTTGAAATGCTGATATTGCACAGCAGCTCAGCGGGTGAGCTGGAAGCCAGGGAGCTGCAGGTCTGTGTCGGCTCTTTCCCAGCACCCACCACTCCTTGCAGTATAGGGGAAATAATTCTTATAAGAATTAGGGTAACTCAATGGATGTATGAGAGAGAGAGAGAGAGAGAGAGAGAGAGAGAGAGAGGGGGAGGGAGGGAGGGAGGGAGGAAGAGAAGCAGCAGTCAGTTCTTCCCCCTCTGTTACGCCTGGAGAGATGTCCAGTGAAGAGGCATCACTGAGGTTATCAAAGGGAGAAGCAGCAGCAAAGATTCCTCTGTCAGGTTTGGATTCACCTCCAGTTGAGAGTCCGGCCTCTCCATCTCACTAGGAATATTCCATATCGTTATTGCTGTAACCATGAGAGAATGTGGAAGCACCAGCTCCCTCTTTGCCTTTCAATCCAGTTCCATGATCTACCAAACTGTGCCACTAAAAATCTAGCTCCCAAATTTGCTTTCTTTCCTCTGCCCTCCCAATCCCCTTTCCTTTTGTGCTATGCCTCTTAGATTACAAGCCTGCAGGAAGGGGCTGTCTGATTTCTGCTCTTTCTATGCTGTACTGGAAGCCTTGCCTGAAGAGTAGAATAAAAATGCTTGGAATAAATAAATGAAATACAATTCTTATTAAATAAGGATGCTATTAAATTATAGGTAACTTCATTTACAGTAGGATGGCTTGAAGCCCTTTGAATGCTCGAGTGGCTAGAGCAGGAACATTCCATATCATTATTCTTATAAGCAAGCTCATTCTTTACTGAGATGATGGTGACTGGGGAAGACTACAGAAATGGCATTAAAGAAAATTTCCTATGAATCTGTAGCAGACTTCTCCAACCTGGGTCCCTCCAGATTTTGGGACTACAGCTGCCAGCATCCTGCCATGCTTGCCGGGGCTCATGGGGCTTTTTAGTCTCAGATATCTGGAGCAGGAGAGGTTTAGAAGGTGTCTCTGTTGGGTGCCGGTACCATGCTTAGCTTTATCTTGAAACCTTTAAACAGATGGCTGAATTAAACAGGGCCTTGCTGCTACTCAAAGAGGCTTCACAGAGGGGAGCTTTGGTTGGGATTGTGGCAAGAGAAAGAGTAAAGCTCCCCCACCCTTTTAGCTGCATCCACCCCCCCCCCCAATGTACCTATTAATTGCATCAACACACGGTCCCCTGTTCTTGGCTCATCAGGGTTCATATTTGTTTCTTTCCCCGAGCTCTGCAGCAGAGTAAGAACAGGCTTTTACCAACGTTGCTTCAGTGCTTAGAGGAACAGGATGTGCGGAAGCCTTTGCAACAGCTGCTGAAAGGGCTGCTTCCCCCATCACCCCAAATACCAAGCCTGGCTTAACGGACAGGCACTGTAACCCTCTCAGCTCATCAGCTCCTCCGGGGCAAGCGGGGTCCCCACATAATCCCAGAGGCCACGTGGGGATCCCGACGGTGGGACCCAGGGAAAAAGTTTCCTTGGAGTTGACTCGGCTTCAAAAAGGAGAGGCATGAAATCGAACAGGTTCCAGCTAATGCGAGCTCGACAAAGGGTTTGCGTAATAGGAGTATTTTTAGCCATGTTGTTGATCTGCCTTTGAACTGGACGGAAGATCCCTTCAGCATTACTCTGAATTGGGGCACTGCTGCTGCTTTTTAATTGCCATTTCTATCCAATTCCCCAAGAAGTTCCAAGTGGTATCTCTGGGAATGTAGCCCTCTTAGCAACTTCCCTATTGATCACAAGTCTGGGTGCTCATTAGACTATGGGTGTTTCCAGAAAACTCTCTTTCGGAACCACCTTGCAACAGGCATGGAATGCTGACCGGGGCTCAGATATACTTTCTCCCACCAGTTCTGCCGGCTCGAAAAAACATGTTCAGAAACCAGCCAGAAGAGCTGCTCACACCAGAAACCCTCACTTCAGAAACACCCCGTGGAAGTGAGACCAACTGGGCAAACTTTAAGCCTGTGTTTGCACTGACCTCTGCAACTCCCGGGCAGAACCAAGATCCACGGAAGAAAGGAAGCCCGTGGCTATTTGGAGCTCTCCGATCAAAGCCAGGGAAGGCCTTCCAGATGCGGCTCAGCTGCAACGTAGCCGGTGGCCATCCAGGCATACCTGGAAGCCCACCGGCTGCCAGTCTGGCTTGCGTCCTGTGATCCAACCGGCACCCCACATGCCTCCCCATCAAGCTAGACATCCCCCTTTCCCCACCAAAACACGGACCAAATGGCTAGGAGACCTTTGCAGGGCTGCAGCGACACACACACACAGGCACAGCCCCGCACCTGTGCTGGGCAGGGCGACCCGTCCTCTTACCCTGACGGCCTCGGCGTGCGTCACCTTGTCCAAGGGCTTGTCGTTCGCCTTCAGGATCTGGTCGCCCACCCGCAGGCCCTCCTTCTCGGCCAGGGAGCCCGGTTCCACGAGCGAGACGTAGATGCCCACGCCGTGCTCCGAGCCGCCGCGGATGCTGAAGCCCAGCCCGTCCTGCGCCTTGCTGCGCTTGAGGGTCACCTGCCGCGTCTCCCCGCGGAGCGCCTCCGGGCCAGAAGGGGGCCGCGCGGGCGCTGTCCCGTCCGCGCCGGTGCTGAACTCG